TTTCGTGAATTCTTTTCTCAGGATATACGAAATTATGCAACGTAATTAGTTGTGCGTAGCCGCATAAATGGGAGAAAAGTCAATCAAACAAACCAAGATGGCTTTTAATAAGGATAATAAAAAAGACTCGATTATGTTAATCCGCTTAATTTCGCACCATAAACTAAGTGAATTTTTTCCAGATCAGATACGTGCTATTTATAAAGGATTTGCATTTTTAATTTTACTTTAAAACTAATAAATTTATTCTCAATGCATTAAATAAACAAAAAAGCAACGTGGCCATGAATACAAAAATGGATTCTCAGAATTAGTATTCATTTATTTTGTTTTTGTTTTTTATATCTTAATGCAGCAAACAAAACTATTAAAATATTTTATTGCTTGAATTTATTATTTAAAACGTTTTTTTATTCATTTGATAAAATCATAATTAAGTGGCTCATTCGAACGCCCTGTATAATTGTTTAATTTGTTTTATTTTACTACTTTGATTGAATTAAAATAACTTAATTTAAAATAAACATCATACAAAATATTAATACAGTGTATCAAATAAGCATTAATTATTAATTAAGTTTTAACAATACATATAAAATCTAACGTCGCGTTTTTAAGTAGATAAGTAATATATATAGGATTAGTGAGTATATTAGAATAGCTGGTCCATAAAAAATATATCCAGCTTATACCTATTAATATTCAGATAAAAACCGATAAAATTCCGATAAAAGAGAAAGAGAAACATGTTGGACGTTATTTAATAACGAAAATTCCAAGTATCCTCCTCTAAAATATGGACTGTCACAAAATACGTTTCAGATAAGACAGAAAAAAAGTTTTATAAATAATCCCCAGGTAGCCTAATTAATGGAAGAATGAGATAGATAAAAATTGGCAATTTAACTTTCGATAAAATCTCGGGACCGTACCTGTACAAAAACCTTGGCTTCAAAAATACAAAACTTTGTTTTAATTGTCATTATTATTGTTTTAAACATATAATGAAAGTGTTATGCGTCGAGTTAAAATTAAAATATCATAGGTTATTTACGTCGTTTTTTTTTACCTCAAACGCAATTTCAACGAAAAATAATTACCAGCTATAGCGTAGTTCCAGCATCGCGGCTCTCAGTTATTAACTTTAATATTTAACCTTGAAATATTTGTATGGGCCAACAGAATTACAGTGTTGCCGGCCGTGGATCGCGCGCTCGAAAATAATCTCTTGATATAAAATTGGTCATCATCCTCACCAGGTAGGGAGGCCATCCAATCTCAGCAGCATCGTTTCAAAAACATTTTTAGGCCTTTACTCGGTCGTGGATGCCACTTTTTGGTTATTAAAGTTAAGTCAATAAAAAAGATTTTTTAATTTAAATTTAATAAGATAACTGCCAAAAAAAGTTTTTTAACGTTATTTTTACGAGATTATTTTTTATTGATTATGTTAGATTGAGAAAAAATTATGGTAAAAATTTCTGTTTTTTTGTTGTCTTTACCCTAAATTTTTAGTTTTTTGTAGTTATCTCTATTGTTCAATGATCGTCGCCAATTGAAATTTGTGTGTGTTTTGGTTGTAACAACAGTTGCTTAAGCATGAGAGGTACCGGGTTCGATACCCGGTGCCTGCACAATTTTTTTTATTTAGGGTTTCAGTTTTATGAAATTTTACCCATCGCAACAGTAAAGATTGCGTCTAAATTTTTCCTGTCGACCAAAAGGAATTTTTATTGTCCAGTCAGAAAAGGCGGTTTCGTCATTTGTACCATTCTTTTTTACCAGTCTAGTTTTAAATATGATTATTTTTAACTTAAAATTAATATACAAACCATACTTAATTTTGTTTATAAGATGGTTTGTACATATTTAAATTAGCAGTGTATAAAAAAACTACAAAATGCAAAAGGTAAATTTAACGTTATTTTTACCAATTGTAAGTTAATATGTGGTATCAAAATATTACTATTGAATAACCATATTTTTACTAAATAACAATTTTTGATTCAAATTTTATTTTAAAATAACGTTAAAATTACTTGTACATAGTAATTTTAACGTTATTTTTACATAAATACATCAATTTCGATATAAAATTGTTCTTTAAGAAAAATTTCATTTAATTTTTTAAGACAATGTAAGCTAAAACATGGTTTTGTATTTTTTGTTTAAACTGCAAAAGATTGCGGCTAAATTTTTCTAGTCGTCCAAAAGGAATATTTACTGTCCAGTCAGAAAAGGCGGTTTCGTAATTTTTACCATTCTTTTTTTAATAAGTGTAGTTTTAAATATGATTATTTTAACTTAAAATAACAAAATGCAAGAGGTAAATTTAACGTTATTTTTACTAATTGTAAGTTAATATGTGGTATCAAAATAGTTCCTATTACTATTGATTAACCATATTTTTACTAAATAACAATTTTTTATTCAAATTTTATGTTAAAATAAAGTTAATATTACTTGTACATAGTAATTTTAACGTTATTTTTACATAAATAGGTACATCAATTTCGTTAAAAAAATGTTCTTTAAAAAAATTTTATTTGATTTTTTATTATATGAAATCTAAAACATGGTTTTGTATTTTTGTTTAAATTGCAAAAGATTGCGTCTAAATTTTTCTAGTCGTCCAAAAGGAATTTTTACTGTCCAGTCAGAAAAGACGGTTTCGTGATTTTTACCATTCTTTTTTACCAGTCTAGTTTTAAATATGATTATTTTAACTTAAAATTAATTTACAAACCATACTTAATTTTCTTTATAAGATGGTTTGCACATATTTAAATTAGCAGTGTATAGAAAAATTACAAAATGCAAGAGGTAAATTTAACGTTATTTTTACTAATTGTAAGTTAATATGTGGTATCAAAATAGGTACTATTACTCTTGATTAACCATATTTTTACTAAATAACAATTTTTGATTCAAATTTTATTTTAAAATAACGTTAAAATTACTTGTACATAGTAATTTTAACGTTATTTTTACATAAATACATCAATTTCGATATAAAATTGTTCTTTAAGAAAAATTTCATTTAATTTTTTAAGACAATGTAAGCTAAAACATGGTTTTGTATTTTTTGTTTAAACTGCAAAAGATTGCGGCTAAATTTTTCTAGTCGTCCAAAAGGAATATTTACTGTCCAGTCAGAAAAGGCGGTTTCGTAATTTTTACCATTCTTTTTTTAATAAGTGTAGTTTTAAATATGATTATTTTAACTTAAAATAACAAAATGCAAGAGGTAAATTTAACGTTATTTTTACTAATTGTAAGTTAATATGTGGTATCAAAATAGTTCCTATTACTATTGATTAACCATATTTTTACTAAATAACAATTTTTTATTCAAATTTTATGTTAAAATAAAGTTAATATTACTTGTACATAGTAATTTTAACGTTATTTTTACATAAATAGGTACATCAATTTCGTTAAAAAAATGTTCTTTAAAAAAATTTTATTTGATTTTTTATTATATGAAATCTAAAACATGGTTTTGTATTTTTGTTTAAATTGCAAAAGATTGCGTCTAAATTTTTCTAGTCGTCCAAAAGGAATTTTTACTGTCCAGTCAGAAAAGACGGTTTCGTGATTTTTACCATTCTTTTTTACCAGTCTAGTTTTAAATATGATTATTTTAACTTAAAATTAATTTACAAACCATACTTAATTTTCTTTATAAGATGGTTTGCACATATTTAAATTAGCAGTGTATAGAAAAATTACAAAATGCAAGAGGTAAATTTAACGTTATTTTTACTAATTGTAAGTTAATATGTGGTATCAAAATAGGTACTATTACTCTTGATTAACCATATTTTTACTAAATAACAATTTTTGATTCAAATTTTATTTTAAAATAACGTTAAAATTACAAGTACATAGTAATTTTAACGCTATTTTTACATAAATACATCAATTTTGATATAAAATTGTTGTTTAGAAAAAAAATCATTTGATTTTTTATGATAATGTAATCTAAAACATGGTTTTGTATTTTTTTTTAAACTGCAAAAGATTGCGTCTAAATTTTTCTAGTCGTCCAAAAGGAATATTTGCTGTCCAGTCAGAAAAGGCGGTTTCGTAATTTTTACTATTCTTTTTTTACCAGTGTAGTTTTTAATATGATTATTTTAACTTAAAAGAAATATACAAACCATACTTAATTTTGTTTATAAGATGATTTGCACATATATAAAATTAGCAGTGTATAGAAAAATTACAAAATGCAAGAGGTAAATTTGACGTTATTTTTACTAATTGTAAGTTAATATGTGTTATCAAAATAGTTTCTATTACTATTAATTAACCATATTTTTACTAAATAACAATTTTTCATTCAAATTATATTTTAAAATAAAGTTACTATTACTTGTACATAGTAATTTTAACGTTATTTTTACATAAATACATCAATTTCGATATAAAATTGTTGTTTAGAAAAAACTTCCTTTGATCTTTTATGATAATGTAATCTAAAACATGGTTTTGTATTTTTGTTTAAATTGCAAAAGATTGCGTCTAAATTTTTCTAGTCGTCCAAAAGGAATTTTAACTGTCGTCAGAAAAGGCGGTTTCGTAATTTTTACCATTCTTTTTTAACAAGTGTAGTTTTGAATATAATTATTTTAACTTAAAAGAAATATACAAACCATAGTTAATTTTGTTTATAAGATGATTTGCACATATATAAAATTAGCAGTGTATAGAAAAATTACAAAATGCAAGAGGTAAATTTGACGTTATTTTTACTAATTTTAAGTTAATATGTGGTATTAAAATAGTTACTATTACTATTGATTAACCATATTTTTGTAAATAACATTATTTCATTCAAATTTTATTTTAAAATAACGTTAAAATTACTTGTACATAGTAATTTTAACGTTATTTTTACATAAATACATCAATTTCGATATAAAATTGTCATTGGATTATAATGTAATTTAAAACATAGTTTTGTATTTTTGTTTAAATTTCAAAATGGTGCTTACCTTAATCCAACAACTGGGACCCCGTTGACTTCGTCGACCAACTCTGAGAGGACTAGGACCGTGGTGCCGGCTACCTGGGCGGTTTGGGGGTACTGGAGGAGTCCCTGTCCGTTTCCCTGGAGGACGACCGAGACGGTGGCGGGGGGGCTGCCGCCGACGTCGCCGCCAGCGTTGATCGAGTTACCGTCAATAAGGACATCGGCGATTTGCTGGCCGTGAATCTGATGGCCGTAGTTGTTGATGGTTATTTCGCCGGTGTTGTCGGCGGAGTAGATTTCCAAGCCCTTCTGGTCGGGAGCGGTAGTGTATATCACTGTTTTGTTACCGTCTTCGTAAATTAGGTCTATGGGGGTATCGTGCTTGTCCGATATCCCTTGAGCATAAATATCATCATCTTTTTCGTACATGACTTCAGTTTTGACCTGAGTATATAGGGGAGCTCTTCCCATGGCACTTTCCTCCTCCATCTCCTTCTTGAGTTCCATCACGTTCACCGGCGTCATCGTCGCCAGCATCGTTGGAGAATCCGGCCCGCCGTCCCGCTCTCTTATCGGAGATCTTCCGGCGGGAGAGGCCTGTGGCGGCGGAGGAGACATCATTCCTCCGCAAGGAGAAGTTTTCGACGACAGATCATCTATATTACGACGAGTCATTGTTATGGCATCAGTAGTCTATATCACAGAGGTTCACTTGAACGCTTTTTATTGCACTTTGAATTATTATTGTTCAACTTATGGCACTTTTATGGCTTGGACTTGAGCTTGATCTTAGTTACTGTTCATTGTTAATTACCTGAAAACAATACTTTCCGTTAACAACAAAAATTGATGGTTTTTATAGGGGTCGACCCCAAAGTTGCATGGGGCCACCCTCTCGGCACGGGTTGCGCCAAGAACAAGTAGCGGCACGCTCGTCGGCAAGCAAAAGAAATTGAGGCTCCCAAGAATACCGATAATCCATGTGGCAGTCAAACCTGTCCCAACATTTAAACCACGTGGATGTTCCGGTTTGGCATCGAGTCTCATCAGAATCCTACTGGATTTACTCGATTCAGGCAAAAATAAATAAAACCCTCAATGAATTTAGAAAGCTTGTAAATGGCTTGATATGTTGATATTAAGTGCACATGTATTGGCTGTAGATATGAGACATATTGTGACTGGAAGTTGAATAATCTGGGCGTGTTTTAAAGCGTTATTCAACTTTTCACTTTCTTAACATAAAAATTATCGATACGACAATTAAATACTCTGTATTTGAATGGGCGATAAAGCAACGAACCCGATGGGTATTTGCCTTGTAGGTAATAAAAAAATGATTAGTGGCCTGCGTAGTGATTATCTTGATGGAAATATTGTGGAATAAATTGGAAAATGCGTAGTAGTGTATATAGGATGGGATGTTTATAAATGGATAAGTGGAAGAAGGTAATTAATCGGTGTGCCCATATAAAGACATTTGGTGCAATGATTAAAACGATATGAATCTATTTAATATTCACATGTCGTAGTAATAGGAGTCAATCCCGTCGAATCAGAATTGAGTGTAGATGTGATAGTGTGTGTGATTGGGCGTTCGATGGACGATAATTGAATACTCTGGGCGTGTAACTGGGATGCCTCAATGCGTGCGTAATTTCGCGGTAGTGGGCAAAAAATGATGAAAAAATGGCATCGCGGGAAAATCCGCTAGTAAAATGGGTGTAATGGCAATAGAGCAATAGACCGATGCTAGACAAGCGGCGCCAAAAGATGACAGACAAACACCGGTCCAAGCGAGTGCAAGTGCAGGTAAACTAGTAGGGGCGTACCAAGTCGCCATTCAAGATCACCAGATCAAGTGTAAGCAATAGTTGATGAACAGGTCTGCCGGCTCCCGGCTCCCGGATAACAGGTATTATTGTAATCATTCAATATTGAAAACAACTAGGTGTGAGTGAACATGCTTTTGCAGTGTGTGACAGCAGCCGGCTGGCTAGATTTGTTGTTTGGTTCAAGCAAGTTAAATTAGTGCTGGATCAGTCTTGTAAGCGTTAAGAGTTCTAAGAGGTATCATGCGTAGATGTAGTGGCTAGATAAGATAGCTGTTTGGCATTACCTAGAGGTGGTGATCACAAACAATTAGTGGTTCGCGTATCTGAGCAACGGAAGAATCCCTTTGTCTAGGCTCAGGCAATCACAGGGGCGGCATGATGTTGGGGGCCCGCACTTCACCACACGGACTCTCACTGCCCGAATGCTACAGCTTTCATGCTCACCACTGTCTGACAACATGCATTTCTCCAATATTGGCCAAGATTCTACATTCAATCACATACTAGCGTCTACAGGTGTTTCGAACTAATACTCTACTGACTGTTAGCAGCGGCGGTTCAAAGCTGATCGCAGGTACGAAACAGCATGCGCCCCGCGTCTGCCGATGCTCCGTCCGAACGCGCCGAGCCAGCAAACGGACAGAGAAAGAGAACAGCACGCAGAGAACGTCGCTGATTGATTCGGAGGCCGCTCGCTGCGTTCAGCCTCCGGCGATCTTGAGCTCACTTCGATCACTCGCAGCGCTGGCTCTCTGTCGCGCCCGCTAGCCGAACCGTCGCTCCCTCTGCCTCGCCATCGAATACGTGGGAGTCTGTACGTACCAGCCGAGCCGCTAATTCCGCTCACGTGTGTGTGAGGGCGCAGCAGCGCAGCACCGCCATCATGGCCGTCGCCGATGCCAAACCAACTCGATCCAATCACAATTTATCAACTCATTTGCTATTGCTATAAAAAAACCCAAACAAAACAATTATTATCATAAACATTCACGAAGCGTGAAAAACCTACTGTCTTGTAGACACTATATATACTTTCCTATTATATTCTAATAAGGTTTTTTTGGGAATCGTTCCGAAAACGAAAGTAGTTTATAATGAATAACTGGTATATAGTAAGTAAGTAGCAGCAGAATCTCGTCTTACATAATAAAGGAAATTTGTTATACTTCGTGGATTAAATTTGCTTTGAAACTAGATAAACTAGAATGCCTAGAAAAACTAAGCGTCTGCAGATCGTCTAGTTTTGTGTGTCACGAATTGTGGAACGCATTTAATAATTATCGAATTATAAGCACGACGATAGATATTTATTATAATCATTGTGTTTAAATTATAAATACAATTTATCTCGACATAAATTTTCCTTACGGTGATGGTTCTTATTATATCGGAGGTATAAGATATCTACCTGTTTATTTTTTGTAGGAGAGTCTATCTCAGTCCGAGATTGTTTTTGTTCGTATTTCGTCTCTTTCCAAGTCACCGACTCTCATTTTTTTATGGTTATTTTCCTAACCCTTTAGTTTTAGAAGTACAGTCCGCCTAAGAGTTTTATATGTGTATCTAGTATTGCTGAGCGACAGGTGACCATTTGTTTACCAATTCAACACTAATATTTACTCAAGCCACATCAAAAAACAGCACATCCCTCTTTACTTAACAAAAAAAAGTAAACGTCATAAATAATCAATAAAACTCATTAAAAATTAATTCGAATAAGTTTATCTGAAATTACAATCATAATATAAAACAACTTTTTGTAGCCTAAAAATGCTTTAAATCATAAATTCATAACCTTAAAACAAAACTAATTTCTTTTATGATAACATCTAGACGGCTACAAGAAATGTGAAGGCCACTGAAGGACATTGTTTACTTACAGAAGTAAACATATATATGTGTGTGTATATTTTTACCACTTAATTAAAGTTGTAATAATATTTAAGTTCGATATTTTCAAAAAAAAATCGGTCTTGTTATTAAATGTCAATGCCATAGTACCTTTTTTGTATTATTTGCATACCAAATTTTAATTATGCTTCCAAATGGGTTTTGTTGTGATACACCCAGGGTATACTTATGGTCTAAAATTGTGCGATTATATAACATAAGGATTCGTACAATCCACTGAAGCATCAAACCGTATGATTAATTATTTTCATGGGCCTATTAAAGGATTTTTAATTTCCAATGCAATGAAAAAGTTGATTCTTATACCCGGCTCGAAGGACCAACCATTTACTTAAAGCATTTACTTTGACTAATTATTGATGCGTCAATTTTCCGAGAATTGTTTCATATTATTTTATTTAAGTATTTGTATTAATCAACCGAGTTATAAATTAATTGACCATTTTCATATGGAATAAAAATAAAAATAAGACGTTGAGAAATATTTCACATATGTTGTATCTAATTTATTCAAATCAATGCGCTGCGGGAATGTTTCTACTTTATATATACAGCCTTTATATTTTTATGCATGACTTTTCACTTTTTTATTTAACAAACCAAACTTAATCACTCACATAAAATACATAATTACAACTGGTTGCTCATTTTTCACCACCAACCCAGGCAAAAATGTTTCTTTTTTGCAACAAAACATTCGGTTTCTTGAAAGGATTTATCTGCAGGAATAAAAGTAATTGGAGACTCCAACAGGAGAAATCAGATCAGACGACGAACTCGAAATTCTATTTTTGCCAGTCAATTTCATTTGTTTTTTTTTATTTCAGTCAAAAATATAGTTTTTAAAAATATAAGGATAAATATAAGGAGTAAACATTGATGAAGCCAAGGTGTGTAAGCTTGTGAAGTTATTTTTGACCTTTTTGAATTAATTTTTAAGTTTTGTGCCTAATATACAAAGTGGACATTGACGAAACCGAGGTGTATGAGCTTGTGAAGTTATTTTAAACAGTTTTGACTTCTTTGGATATTTTTTAGTTTTTTGTGAATGAGTTTTTAGTTTTTAAAATATACACTTTAAGTAATATTTTAAATATAATTATTAAGGATTTCATGTAATTAAGGAGGTCGATATATGTTTTATTTTATATATTTAATCTCGACTTTTTACAGGAAAGCATCATGTTTTGAAACTTTTTAGAAAGACCATTTTGTAAACCTCTTGAGAGCCCAAAGGTTCATATTATTTGTAAATTTCTCTTGCAATAAAAAAATGTATTCACCAAAATAGTATATTATGTATTAAGTTTGATAAACGCCATTTTATACACGAATTTAATTTAGGCACGAGCGAGCTTGCGAGCGAGTGCTTAAATTAATGATTGTATAGAAAAGTTTATAAACGAGGTGCAGCATACTATACTTTTTCTACGACAAATACTTATTATTATCTTAAAATGATTTAAATCAAAAACTTGTATAGAGCGCCATCTATGAAACAATAGGGGAATCTGTGTGTCACCGTCAAATGTCATTTTTTTTTATTTTATATACACAGATAATAAAGGTTATAAATCGAAATGTATTTCTTGAAAATTGACAGTTTTTTACAGTGAAAGTAAAGAAAATGTTTTATGAGCACTTTACAGTGGAGTCCGTGTCCGAATTTAAGTTATAGTTTACTGCCGGCGAAATTAAAAGGTCAGTACAATGTTCATATAAACTTTTCAAATATTGGCGCTAAGAAACTATTTAATACTTTTGTATTTTTGTATTTTTGTATTGAGATAATAAAATAATTTTCAGATTTAGTATTATTTTACAAGAAAGGCACTTTATTTTAACGATTGTATGACATTTGACAACTGTCAACTAACTTAAAACTAACTTGAGCCCGTGACTAAAAACCTGTTGCTAACTTCAGCCCGTGACTAAAGCGCCATAAAGCCACAACTTGTCAATGTGTATTTAAAAGGCCATGTAAACATGTACGATAAAGGGCGTTTTAAAGGTGGGAGTAGAAAAACGTCTTTATTTTGAAGAAACCTCTTTTGTGATTGATTGCTTGGTAATTTGTATAAGATAATTTTTTACTATTTCTATGTTGCTAAAACAAAATGTACCCACGTACCCAGTAAACCGTTATTTTAAATAAAAAGGTAAGTAAATTTGGCAAAAAATTTTAATTGGGTTCGTCTTGGATTTTTTGTAAATTTAAGTAAATCATAAACTAATGCCTTTTTGTTCGTAGTATTAATAACCAGGGATCATAGATCTATGGTAATTGTTTATTAATTCAATGAAAAATAATCATAAACTAATGTCTACCGTTTATAATAATAATAACTGTTTATTGATTTATCTTAAGTTAGCAACAGGTTTCTAGTCACGGGCTGAAGTTAGTTGACAGTTGTCAAATGTCATACAATCGTTAAAATAAATTGCCTTTCTTGTAAAATAATACTAAATGTAAAAATTATTTTATTACCTCAATACAAAAATACAAAATATTTGAAAAGATTATATGAACGTTTTTACTGACCTTTTGATTTCGCCATAGTAGTGCAGTTCACTAAATTTAACTGATAAAGCGTTAAAAATTTTGCGTACAGTGCCCATTAAACATTCTCTTCTCTTTTACTGGGAAAAACTGTTTCTATATTGATTGTTAGTCTATTTTCAAGGGATAAATTTTGATTTACACAGAAAAATTTGAGATTTTAACCCAAGTTGGAAATTCTAACAGGAATTCACAACTGTCACTTTTTGTACCTTTCAAATTTCCCGTGTAATACTTTGTGATAATATTTTGCAATTGTAGTAATACAAAAATCAAAGGATAACATATTTTTTAACATAATCATATTTTGAATTTATTTTAATAATTTGAAGTATCAATAATTGTTAAGTTTAATTAAAATATGAACGGGCAATGTTAATGGTGAAAATTACGTCAAAAATTAATTTAAATTATTTTTTAGATATAGTTTATAAATTTTTTTAGGCACTCATTTAATTAAGCACTCGCTCGCAAGCTCGCTTATAAAAAAAAGGGAATAAAATAAAAAATCTTGTTTATAATTTTAGTTTTTTTTATTAAAATAAACATTTAAGGGAATATGATTTGTCTATGTAAATTTTTATGTGTTTTGTTGCATAAAAGTGCGGGCTTATCTAAAATAATAAAGTAGAGAGTTTAGATAGTAAAATTCGAATAGGTTTGAAGGGAGACGTATTTTATGTGTATTTGTTGAGCACAGGAATCTTATATAATGTTAGCAAAGTAATAATTTTCAAATTTATCGAAGACAATGGCAAGAAATTATGATAGCGATGTCTATAAACAAAACTTTCATGTTACCATTTTCTATTACAATAAAATATATTACAATGAACATATGGTAAACAACTTATATTTACATCTATTGCGAGTTGCGTGTAGCAAGCGCAGTATATTAGAGTTTGATCGTTTTTTATTCGGCTGCTTCAACTTTCTAGGCTTATCAAGCCGTTAGTGCTGAAAAGTTTTTCCATCGAACGGTGGACAAATGGATAGTGAGTCTCTTGGGTACGAAAAAATAACAACAAGTAACATTTGTCCGCCATTTTGAGGCCGTGTTTAAGAAAATCGCTTCACGCACATACTATGTAGACAGATAATTGTATGTCCAAGTAAAAATGATCAGCAATGTAGCAATGGCGAGTGGACAGCGCAAAACACAACAATGTGTGGCAGTAATGACGATCTTTGACTTACGGACGATCGCAGAATATCAATAATGTCATACCCGATACGATGATTCCTTCTTCTCCTCTTAACCGTTTACATTTGTTGCGTCCAAACAGTCGGTCGCTTTTTTGCCTCATTTTCTTTCCGACAATTCCATACATAGCAGCCTTTTTTCAATTTCAAATGCACTATAATTTTATTCCTACAAACAATACAATATCAAGCAAAAGAATTTCTCCTGCTTTCGACGAAAATTATGACGGATAATTGCCAGAATCGAAAACAATATACTTTTATCGTTCACT